CGGCCGCGGGCTCGGGAGTGCGGTGGCGTGTGTTGCGGTGGTTTGACGGGGGGTTTTGGCGCCGCTCCTCGTCCTCGATTTCCGGGGGGCCTCGCGCGCGCGCGCGAGCCGGCAATGCGATTTCTGGGTCGAATTCCGCGAATCTCCTCGCCGGAATGCGGCTGTTCGAGGATTTTTTTTTTCTTTTTTGGTGGGGGTGGGGGGTTTCGGCTGGGAATTGGGATCTTACGTTCCTTTTACTGGTTCGTAACCGGCGCGTCAGCCGCTGCCGTCGACGGAGGGTTCATGCCCAGTGTGGTTTAGTTTCGGGATTTTTGACTGGGTTTAGGTGTCGTGTCCGAGAATAGGAGAAACTTGGAAGGATTCTATTGACCGTTCCCTCCCTCGCCCGTGTAAGTCGTGCGATGGATGGCAACTTGTGCGAACGATTCTGACTGATGGTAATTTTCTATGATTTTTCCAGATAGGCATCATTCCCAGCATCGGGTTCTACGGAGGAGGCGCCGGTTTGGACATCTGATCCATTTGGAGGGTATTGACCGCTTCAGAGCTAGAGCTCCTCTGGCCTGTGGGCGGCTGCTGGATTGGTCAATATAATACGCTCTCTGGTCTTGGAGATGATGCCATTGTGAGCACAAGATGGATTCCGCGAGAAGTTGGTTCCAGAAGTTCCAGCCGCGGGACAAGTCCAAGAGCCCGGCGGTGCCTGCCAGCCATGGGAAGGATCCCGGGAAGCCCCCCGTCGACGACGCGCCTTCTAGCGCGACCAAGCAGAAGGTCGCTGCGGCAAAACAGTACATTGAGAACCACTACAAGACTCAGATGAAGTCCTTGCAAGATAGGAAAGAGAGGTAGGCTGGCAACTTAAATGTTTGGCGCGCTTTCCCCTGCTTTAGCTGTGGATTTAGGTACTTTACTCCATCTGGTTCAATAAATCCTACCATGCTGCGGAGTAGGAAAACGACAAGCACCCTTCTTGTTGCTATTACCGAGCAGGATGCTTATTAACACACATCACATGCCATGTTGGGATTGGAATGGTAAACACCGATTCAGGTTGTTAAGATGAAGTCCTTGGGCCACACAAGTTGTCGGGACCTTGTCACCGCCATAAATAGGAGTTCCAATGGATTAAAGCTCTAGCTCCAAATTAGGTACATAGCTTGAACGGTTTGTTGAGTCCTCCAGTTGCACAAGTGGCTTAGTAAAACATTTAATTCACTACCAGATATGACTTGTAATTGGTCTTCAGGTTTGATATATTAATCTCAAAACACTTCGCTCAAGGTGATTAATATACCCATTTTGAAAGCCGTCTAGCCGTCCTTTTCAGAGATTTTGGTTGACACCATCACTGTTAATTTCCGCATTGTGAATGCACAATTTTGATAACCTGCGTCTGATTGTTTATTTTGTTCTCAGTTAAAACTTGTATCAACATTACTCCCTGAGATGTATATTTTGCATCGATTGTAACTTATTTCAATCTGCTTCATGCTTTGATGTGCCACTTCTGTTTGAGACTAATTTACTGGCTACAATTTAGTCATCATCCTGATCTGATATCTTTGTCTTCTTTTAGGCGCTGGATGCTGGAGAGGAAATTACAGGATGCTGAAGTTCCTGCAGAAGAGCAGAACAACATTCTAAAACATTTGGAGAAAAAGGAGACTGAATATATGCGTTTGCAAAGACACAAGATGGGGGTTGAAGATTTTGAACTTTTGACAATTATTGGAAGAGGTGCATTTGGAGAGGTACCTCTCAGTTTGGTCCCTGTTGTTTATTTATATGTTTAACCTCCTATGTGGCATGATTTCTTGGTCTTCTAATTCTGGTTGTCAATAGTAGATTCAGAAGGCCAATATTGGGCTTGACACTATTGCTCATCCTACCTTTTCCCCATAAACATGATCTCTTATGTAATCACAAAATTGTGCTGCGCTGTGCTCCCTCTACTTGCCGCTCAACACGGAACGTCCTGTGTATTCTTTGTCTACAAGCATGCCAATGTGTCATTGTTCTTTAGGCTGTAAGGTGACCTAAGGCGAGCACCCACCGCCCTGATGCCTAAGCGACTAAGGCAGGAAAAATTGCAAGGTGCTGCTAGGGTGCCTTGCCACCTAAGCGTCCAAGGCAGGACGCCTTAAAACAATGTCCTACGTTGCTACGGAACCACAATATGATTGTAGTTGTATTGAATTAAGAGTATAGAACAACCAACACACTTGCAACACTGCGAAGAAAAACTCAAGCAAGCAGCAACACTGGCCTTGCGTAACTGCAGCGGCCATGGGAGCACCAGTGCAAGATTTGAAGCGGCAGAGCCATGTCTGGATTTTGAAATTTGAAAGCTAGGATGATTGAGATTGGAACCATGAGTTGGTTGCGAGATCTTTTGGGTTTCTACTCTAGCCAACCCCAACTTGTTTGGGACTAAAGGGTTTGTTGTTGTCGTTGTTGATGATGATGATGATTGAGGTTGGAAGGAGGGCCGGCCGGAAGACATGGATTGGGGAGTAGCCGCAGCAGGGAAAACAATTGGTTGGCAGATTGACTGGCTTGTTTGTCTCGTAGTTTTTCCCCCCGTACTTATGAAAGACTTCCCCCTTCGAAACATGCGTGAGGTGGTAGCTTGTTGGTTTGACTGAGTTGGGTGTAGAGGCAAGTGTGAGGTTCGAGGCTCCCCGACTGCATTATTTCTGTTTGTTTTTTAAAAACGGAAGGGGTCCTAGATAGACGAGGGAAATTGAGGTGGAGTTTGGGGGGACTCACCGCTACCACCAACTCCAATTTATAAGATGGTGGTGAAGTAGAGATATATAGTCACATAAAAAAGAGCGTGTACCCAGTGCCGAAAGCTCCCACACAAGGTAGGGTTAGCCTTACCCCTTGCATGATAATTCTGCAAGGAGACTGGTTCGAACCCAGGACCTCCAGGCCACAAGTGGAGACTCTACCACTGCGCTAGGCCCGCCCTTCATATATCACACCAGGATAAAAAGAGTCCCTTCATACAAGCATTTCACCTTTCATCCTTTTCAGCAAGAGAACATGAGAATAATGTTTTTGCGTAGTGCAGTTGACCCGTATACTTATAAAGCAACGTTTACATGCTGGCCTGGTTTTGTGGTGTGCTCTGTTCTTCTGATATATTTTCTTTCAGTTATTTCCTATGCCTTCCTATTCTTCTCCAGCTGTGTTGTTCTTTCCCCTGCACTATAAAAATGTGTGCCCAGTTAGCCCGTTACAGCCCAGTTCTTTTACCGGCTTCTACAATAAGCTGCCCCCTCCCTAGCTTAGTTTAGAAGCCCCCCTCCCCCCCATACCGTGGGCGCTTCTTTAGAAGCTCCAACCAATATGGGGGGCGTCTTCTAGAATAAGTTGGGGAGGGGGCGGCACTGTCATAAGCCGCCAAAAGAACTGGGCCGTATGTAATAAAGTAACCATCGCCAGTTATTTGTACTTTTTTGGTCATCGCTATGTGCGTCATGTTTAATGTCATTCTGAATTGTGATTATGCAGGTGCGTCTTTGTAGAGAGAAGACCTCTAAAAGTGTATATGCAATGAAAAAGCTTAAGAAATCTGAAATGCTTCGTAGGGGCCAGGTAACCGTGTACGGTTTATCCGTTTTTTTGTATTTTCCATTTCTGGTTATATGCTGTCCTCTGACACAGTGTCATGTTTGTACACATTTCAGGTGGAACACGTCAAAGCCGAAAGAAACCTCCTTGCAGAAGTCGATAGTGCGTACATAGTAAAGCTTTACTATTCTTTTCAAGATGATGAGTTCTTGTATCTCATCATGGAGTACCTTCCTGGTGGTGACATGATGACTTTGCTCATGCGCAAGGACACTCTGACAGAAGATGAAGCCAAATTTTACATCGCAGAAACTGTACTAGCAATAGAGTCCATTCACAAGCACAATTACATTCACAGGTATCGTGTATAACCGGTCTCTTGCTCTGTTAATAATTCTGCCGCTTAGGTAATCTAAGATATATTTTTGTGTTTCTTCTGTCAGGGATATCAAGCCAGATAATTTATTGTTAGATCTCAGTGGTCACTTGAAGCTTTCTGACTTTGGATTGTGCAAACCTTTGGATAGCAGTAATTTTCCAAATTTGAATGAACCGGATTATACACCTGGAAAAGGTGCTAAACCTTTACCCGATAACACCAGTCGATTAACTAACTCTTCTGCACCGAAGCGTACGCAGCAGGAGCAGCTGTCACATTGGCAAAAGAACCGTCGGATGTTGGTAAGTAACACATCTAGGATGGAATCAACTTATTGATGGTTGGGAAACAGTATTAACAATGTTATGATGCCATGTCTAATAAGTTGATATATTAATGTTTGTAGTACACTTCTATGGGCATACTTGGTTTCATGCCTTGTTTTGCCTTGCCAAAATAGTTTGTAGAAATGTGGTCCCCAATTTTCTGGCTCCATGAATGTTGGCAGGATTTGACTGAATTTGGCAAGGTATTATCTTGTCTCTAATGTTGATAGCAAATCAATCACTATCCTAACGCACCTTGCCAAAATTTGGCACAGAATTGGCAGAAAACCAACCTTCATACCGAAACATGGCAACTTTTGACATTGCTGAAATGTTGGCTTGTCAACTTGGGGCATCAAACAAGACAGACCCTATGGTCCTAGCAGGCTTTATGCTATCTTCGTATTTCCTAGGCATCCATTTTCTTGGCCTCCTACCTTGCAAAAAACCATATCAAATTTCAACTTTTTATCTATTGTTTCGCTGAAAATGTGTCGGAGCTATTTTGAACATGAATCTTTCTCAAGGAAGAACTATGAGAAATTAAGAACACAGAAACATTAACATAAACATAAGCTGTCCGGATCTAAGGAGGCATGGTTTTGGTGTAACATGCCAATCTTCACGGTGTTGAACCTAGTCAAATCCAATTTCATGATGTTTTTAAATAAAGTGTTTGCTCAGCTCAAGAAACCCAGTTACCTTCCTTCAGTGGGGCGATATACTATTGCAAGGAAATCAAATACCTCATATTCTAAGCTTGAACTTCTAGTGGGTTGTGTAAATGATGTATTATGGTACTTCTTGATAAACATTGGTTTTTCTTATGTGGGATTTGTATCTTGACTTGGCTTTTCCTTTCATATCTGTTGTCTATGATTTGCTATGTTAACAAGCGAGTATGCCCCACTGGCATAGCTAACATGTTGGTCATTCTTGTGTCATACAGGCGTATTCTACAGTTGGTACTCCTGATTACATTGCTCCAGAGGTTCTATTGAAGAAAGGATATGGAATGGAGTGTGACTGGTTAGGTTTCTTATCTTGTAATGATTTTCTTTAGTCGTTAAACTTCTTAATTTTCATTGCACATGCTTTATGTATTAAATGGATTTTTGGTCTCACATTTCTTTCTTTATTAGGTGGTCCCTTGGTGCTATCATGTATGAAATGCTAGTTGGTTATCCCCCATTTTATTCGGAGGATCCAATGTCGACCTGCAGAAAGGTATGTCTCTCACACAGGCTTCATGAATCAATCACTGAGGATGTTTATTTGGTTTGGCATCTTCAGCCTATGTAACGCTTGCCAGACTCGCACGAGACTGACTTTAGTTAAATCTGTAACACATAGGACAGGGCAAAATGCATAGATGCACCATAGTAGTGTGAATTGCCTGTAGTTTTACTACCCTGTGGATAGATTCTGATAGTTGTAGCTGGTCACTGCAGCTCATATCTACTCCCTCCGTTCCAAATTACTCGTCGCAGAAATGGATGTATCTAGAACTAAAATACATCTAGATACATCTATACCTGCGACAAGTAATTCGGAACGGAGGGAGTAGTTCCCTACTATACACCTTATATGGACTATATTATTCATTGCATTCATGATATTGGGTTTACCCTGTTTAGTGTTCTGTAGTAGGAATTTGTATCCAACAATTCACCTAACTTGTTCATTGGCACACAGAATACTTGTATAACTGTACAAAAATGCAATCTGATCTGTTTGATGCTCTTTTTTGTTCATCCAGATTGTGAACTGGAGAAGTCACCTGAAATTTCCTGAAGAGGCAAAGCTTTCTTCTGAAACTAAGGATCTCATTAGCAAACTTCTCTGTAATGTTGAGCAGAGACTTGGAACAAAAGGAGCCCATGAAATAAAAGTGTGTCCCTTACCTTGGTTCTACACAGTACACCCTCATTTTTCTCAGTTACCTGCTTAGCTGATAACACCATGTCATCCACTTCAGGCACATACATGGTTTAGAGGTGTCCAATGGGAAAAGTTGTATCAGATGAAAGCTGCTTTCATACCAGAAGTTAATGGCGAGTTGGATACTCAGAACTTTGAGAAATTTGAGGAGGTAATATTCTGTGGTTCCACTTTGTATATCTTTCTAGACAATATGCATTAATAGTATCTCCTGCTCCAGACACTTGATGGTTTCTGCGGTGCATGACAGTCGATAACCAAAGTGGCTTGAAGTATGTTCCCACTTCTTTTTGGTGCTGACGGTGGTCTGTCATGCATTGACTGTTGGCATGGCTCACAGTTATGCAGTGGCTAACTTAAGAGATTCCAGAATGCTGTGCGTTTTATATTTCCGAGCAGTAAAATATGCATCTACTGCAGTTGCAATTCGCATGGAAGCTGCTAATAACCTTCTTTTTTACCTGTTTTCACCTTTTATTTTTAGTGGTTTGCACTTTTAATTTTACAATACACTTAGTTGACACAGGGAAAACACAACTTTTAAAATATGGGCCATGTTTCCCATGTACCTACTACTTAGATAGATCTCCATGATAAATGCTGTTGAGACTTGAATTAGAACTGTGTCGAAAGCTCAAGGTGTCATGCTTACATTTACCTTTGTTTCAACTATATTTTTACAGACTGGAGCACAAGTTCAGAGTTCATCTAAGGCGGGTCCATGGAGAAAGGTATGCCTGAATTCAACATGAAATGCAGCATGCATTTTTGGCTTAAAAATAATGATGTCATGGGAACATTGAGTTCACTCATGTTCAGCTTCATGTCGGCACTAAAGATTTTTTTTTCTTCCAGATGCTTCCATCCAAGGATGCAAATTTTGTTGGATACACGTACAAGAACTTTGAAATTGTGAATGACGATGAAGTTGCCGGGATTGGTTAGTCTCTCTTGACTGCACTATTGCCTTTGGCCTTGGGATTTTGTATTCTTAGTTTGTTAGTTTTAGAATTGAATCGTGCTTTTATGCAACAGCCGAGCTGAAGAAAAAGAGTTCCAAATCAAAACGGCCAACCATCAAGACATTGTTTGGTAACTAGCACTGGCCAGTATTTTACATTTGGTTCCCCACCTCACCATTTATTGATCACGATCCATTTACCTTTGTTCGTATTGAAACAGAGAGCATGGATGAAGATGAACCTGTGCACGGCGGTTTCTTAAATATGTTGCCCCATAAGGAGGGACAACCTTCTTCTCACTCAAGCGCCCCACCAGAACAATACCAACCTCGACGTAAATAGGATATGGAGGTTTTGAAAAGTAAACCACAGAAAAGTAAAAGAGAGGAAAAAAAACTGTTGCCTTTTGGTCTTGGTGTTACCCCGTCCAGCTTTTGTAAATCCTAACCGATGCTTTCTTTTTAGTGAATTTGTTAAAACAACATCCATCCCCTGTCTCCAAAATAGTATGGTGTTTGATGTTAGCAGTGATGCCTGTTTGGTTCGCCGTATGTTGGGTTGACAGTCTCGGCGATGGGTCCTCGGCTATTACTGGCTACAGCATAAGTGTATACTTGCTACCAGCTCTGACGAGCATGTGTATTACAATTGAATTCACCTCTGCTTTTCTGAACCTTTCGAAGAGATTTTTATAGCTTACAGTAAAACTGACTGATATGGTTATCAAGATCTTGACAGGCAATGATGATTTGTGGGTTACGCTTGTTCTGGTTTTGGCTTACCGAACCCTTTATTCCAACCATGTCGCCTGTTTGCTTTGGTGCTTCTATATGTGCGTTACGAGTTCTGAAACTTGTAATTTCGGGCACTGGCTCAGTTGCGGAATCATTTGAATGCAAATGCTTGGAACAGACGAGGGTATTTCTTGCCCGTGTGTGGAGAGTAACATGCTGAGTACGGCCCACCAGTTGCATTTCTTCGTCAAAAGCGAAGCGAGAAATGTGTACGCCAGGGGGGCAGGGACCAATATTCTCACTTGAAGCCAGCATTTGCGCGTCAAAAGAGAACAATGAGCTATCTTTCGAGCTAACCAGAGCTGAAGATGGAGGCATGGGTTTTCACATCGTTTTGCCAGCTTCTGTCTGTCACAAGGCTATAATACTGTACAAAGAATGTTCATGCATGTATGTACTGCCTCTGTTCTGAAGTATAAGATGTTTTGGATATTGCAATATGGATTTATATACGGACTGAAATAAGTGAACAAACACACTAAAACACGTCTATATGCATCTGATTCGTAAAAAATAAATATAGAATGCCTTATAATTTGGAACTGACGGAGTATTTAGTAGAAACTCGCATTTTACATTTTGTATTACCACTTGCGACTTGTGCGGAAATTACAAAAAACCTTTCTGCAAAATAAGCTGTGTGTCTTGTATTGCAGCCTTCTGTACAATAGCATTTTTTTAAATACATTTTTTCATAGCTTGCAAAATATCTTATCATTTAACAAAAATAAGACACAGCTGTCTGTCGTAAATAAATGACTTTTAGATCCACAAAGTGAGTAGTATAAAATTTTAAAAGAACACGAGGAAAAAATGGTACCATTATACACACACACATATTTATTTAAATAAAAGATCATACTCCCACTAACATATGTGAATAAAAAAATTGGTAAAACACAAAATAAAAAACCGTTTCACTAGCTACAACATCATTACGAACGAAGGGAGGGAGTACTGTCTTTTGCTAATGCCAGAAGAGAAAAGTTGGGCCCAAAGCCTATGTATGTTTTCCCCATTTATCTCTTCTTGTTGGACTACAAACACTTACGGTTTGAACTCTCATTCATAGAGCTTAACTCATCAACACTAATGAGATTCCTCGTATGGATATGACTCATGAAAACTAGGCCACCTTATGAGGTGAAGACTCAAAGGAGTACAAGACCCCCTCACGAAGGTGGACACGATATCAGACGATGTGGCATGGCGAAAATGATGAGGGAACTCGACGACTCGACTTTCCGCATCGGATTCATACAAGGCACGATCCACAACCGGCGATGCTTAGCTTCAGCAGCTATGGGCTGCCCATGGCACCGAGCTACATCAACACGCCTGCTGGCTCCATGTGGCCAATCTCCATTCGCGCCAAACTCAATGAACCAGAGCTCCTTTTAGCTCCTTCGGCACATACAGTTTATACAACACGGGGAATCAAAACCGAACAGGTCACAAAATTAGCCGAACTGCCCGATGATACGGGTAACAATAAAAGGTTAGGGATGGGGATATGTCGAAAATTTGATAGTTCGAGGGAATAATATACCTTGTTTTTGTGAAAGGCTCTAAAGCCATATATTAAATATCACAAGTCCATACAAAAACACCCTTACAGAAAAAACATCACATTGAAATTATCAGGGGTGTCAAAGTTTTCTTCCTCCTGCATCCACTGACGACTCACTGTGAGCATAGCTCGATGCCGCCTCTGGGCCTCCACCTCAGCGGGACAAAACTTGTTTAAAATCAGGAGCTTGTAGAAGCAACAACCAGAAAGTCGTTGATGCAGACCATGAGACGCCGGTGACTGCGATCAGCGAAATAAGTTTCCGCCCTAGAGAAAAAACGCCGAAAAGATCCTATGGAAACTCCGAGGACCAAGAAAGCGATATGAATCCAAACGAATCCATCAGATCCTGGGAGGCCTGTCAAAGACATAGCTCTAGACACCCTCCGGTGTCGGCAACAAGCACACCAATGAAACGGGGAAAGGGCAAGGAGGAGATTATCCATATACTTGGACAACACAACTGCCTCACACCTCAAACTAGACACAAACACTCTCCAAAGAAACCAGAGACAAATCACAAATGCCACTGCACACCATATTCGAGTCTGATGTCAAGCTCATCGTTGCCCACGACCATGCACCAACGCCCTCTTCTCCAGTGACCTAGCCAGGCGGGGCTGCCGTTGGAGATTATCGCGTTGGATCACCACCGATGTTGTCGAGCATCGCCTGTCGACAACCGCACCTCGGCTACTCATCTCCGTCGCCGACCCATGGTAGCCTACCAACTCCTCCAGAGTAGGCCCACCACGATCAGCAACCTCCCGATGGTGCCAACGCTGTGCGGCCTTTTCCTAGTGATGCACCTTGGCGATGGAGAGAAGGGGAGAAGACGGGGTGGTGGCTAGGGTTTCAGTCGCCCGCCTTGACCCTCTCCCACGAAGTGGTTTCTAATGCGTGCTCACGCGTAGTAAATATACTTATCTCCATGATTTTCGATGTACAAAGTCGTGTGACTAGACCTGGGTATTCCTCGGGCCGCCCCCCAAAACCTGAGGTCGACCCGACCCAAAACAACTAAACATTGCACTTTTCATATTAAAACTATATTATATCAATATTTTCTGATTTTTGTTTGAGTAACAGCTATATTTGCTGATTTTTTGAGGTGTTAGTATATTTTCTGATAAAACCCTAATTTTGAGGCAATTCAGGCTTTTGGACCAAAACTGGAGCCCGAGCCCGGCACGTCCCTTGGGCTTCGGGTTCAGGCCGGGCTGCCCATGCCCCTACAGCGAACCACTCGGCCCAGCGCCAGGCCCAGATACCGCGGCGAGCCAAGCCGGTGAATTTTCCCATCTCAGCTTCTACCGAACCCATCTCCGCGGACCTTCTTCTCCATCCCTGCCTGCCTCATCGTGGACCGGCCGGCGAAGAAGACGACGGTACGAGCTCGCGCCACCACCACCCCGACCAGGCGACTCAAATCCCAACCCCTCTTCACTCGACCGCCGCCCCAGCTCGAGCCCCCCCTCGAATTTCCTTGCCGCCGCCGCCGCCGCTGCTGTTTTCCCCTTCTCCCCACTGGTATGGCCGCGTGATCTGGCCAGGGTTTGGATGAAGGAACGGAAGCCGGCGGCCCCCTCTGCGTTGGCCCGGATCCTCGCCACCTGCGCGTCCCAGGTGCCCGCCCGCTCGCTCCTCCACTCGTTAATCCCCCCCTCTTCACCTGCCGACAAGTGTGATGGTTCGTTCACTCGTTATTAGCTATTTAGTACTAATGCGCCGTAGCAGGATCGGGGATCAGAATTCCCTAGTTTAGTTTTGGTTTGCAGCAAGTGGTCACGGGCTGGTGGTAGATTTGGGAGGTTTCCCCTTGCAGATTGGTTTGCTGTTGCTGCTGGGAAGATCACGATGGGTGATATACATACACTGTTGTAATTAGTGTCTCTTTGCTACTCGGTGCTAGTACTTCGCTAAAGGTAGTTTGTTGCTACCGGATTGTTAGGAGCCTGTTATAGGGGTCTAATTTGATCCGTGTGGGTGTTAGCTTAGTCCTGGCGTCCTTTAGTGCCGGTTACCGAACCGGCACTAAAGGGCCTTACGAACCGGTGCTATTGCCCGGTTCTGCACTAGTGTGATTTTGGTTTTCGGCTATGAGGAGGATGCCTGCTGCTTAGTTGTTTGCTCCTCTGCCCTTGGGTGATTATATTTAGGAAGTGCACTTCAATCTGTTAATTACCCCTAAATTTGTTGCTGCTGATTTTCATATGTTGTTACACTGAATCGAATAGCATGATATGAATGGTAGCTAAGTAGGAGTGAACTGGAAGTATCCATACACATTCCCCAATATCTTTTTTTGAGAAACATAGTACAAATGTAGACGTTCACAAAGACGTGCATACACTCACCCCTATGGACGCACACACGCACACCCTACCTGTATGAGCACTTCCGGGAAACCGAGCCGGCAAATGTTGAGATAGATGAAGTCACCACAGGCACTTCTTACTCGATGGGAACATCGGCTCCCATTGAATGAACATCGCCAAAAAGCCTGGAATAAATTCAGGAAAATGCGAGCACGGACTTGAACCCGGGTGGGTTGGTTCCACCACAAGGAACCTAACCATCTGAGCTACGCTCACTTCACCCCAAAGAAATAGTTTGACATTGAAGGGTTATGTAACTTACTAACTTGCTGTACTGGTGATACATATGCAATTCAAATTGCTAGCGCCAACTGGCTTGGTGAAGATGAGTAAATACTCAATAACCTTATGATCTGGTCTTTTTTTGTTTTATAATGTCGCGAGTGTTCTATTTATCAGCTATGCTATGCAGGCAAAAGATTATGGGAGATGCATAGCAGCAAAGGTCCCTGAGATTGAACATAATATGTGTTCTAAGGAGTTTCTAGCACTCAGAGCATGCATGCAAACTGCGGTAATCTTCCCATTACTAAGAAAATAGTTTGGTTGTATCAAATCATACTGTTACAACTTTCACCTGTACAATTAAGCACCCAATTCAAATGGAAATGGCCTTTGGTTGTTCTAAATAAATCACTGTTTTCTTCTTGGCCAACAATCAACTTCTCTACCCATTTTTGTTCCTCCTCTTGTTTGTTTATTTTTTTTGTTCCACTGCTGCTGCGTACTCCGTCCATCTTCCCCCTATGACCATGCCATTTCCACCATCGCCGGTGAGGTTTTGGGGTGGATGGTGACTCTCTGCACCTGTGGGGCTTAAAGGGATAACCCGTTGGGGGTGGCAGGCCGTCTTGGCATGTCAAGAACATCGGTTGGTAGATAATCTGGGAGAGATGTTGGTGGTGGTTGATACTAGGAGGCAGATCCAGCAGTAATATAGCGGCGGAAACAGGGAAGATGGCGGGGGCAATGGATTAGATAGCGATTGGTGAGAGAGGGGGATGAGGGAGCTGCTGGTGTTGGTGCTGGATGGCAGGCCTCGTGGCGCTAGAGCGACTCTTGTGATGCAGGGGGCAGCGGACCTTGGGGAATGGGTGGCAGTGAGGATGGGATGTTCGGGAGGTGAGAGCAGGGTGAGAGAAGTCTAAAGAGTTGAGGGCTAATCTTGGTCCCATGGCCAATCGGAAACACTGTCAGTGTGCAGTTCCTGAATTAATTTATGTTGTTGATTAATATACAGTCCCTAAATTAATTTATTTTTGTCAATTCATATACAGTCCTTACATTAATTTATTTTTGTCGATTCATAGGCTTACGGATTTAAATTTGTATTTGGTTTATAAAAGACTGCTTACAATCTGTGTAATCATTTCATGCTTGAAAGTGGATCTATCTTCCTGTCCTAACTTTCATTACTCTGTCCTCAAAGGTCAAGAATAAGGCTTGAAGTTCAAGGCGTTTGGAGTTTGGTGTTAACCACCTTTCAGTGTGATCAGTGTGCTCTCAGGTGAGTCTAGCTCTGTATTTTACGACTCAAAGAAAATATGGATATCATGGTGTTTTATAACCATGTAATAAGAAAAAGAGCTGTGCATCATGCTGACAACAGCTCCCTTTTGTATTATGTTGGTAAACTGCAAGATCACTAATTGACAAGCTTGAAATAACAAATGAATTGTGCACAATCAGATGCAAGGAGGTTTGAGCAGCCCTGGTGCGCTCTCTCACGCTTATGTACAACATCCTCCGCTACGGTGTGACATTCCAGATATTAAGGGGCTATTCTATGATGATGCGAATAAGTTTCTTGTAGCCCCAACAGCTGATCGGGTATTTGAATATCTAATTAATCGACTTTACATTTCCGCTAGATACTTGGTTATCACAAAGTAAATTGGTTACATTACTGCAGATATTATACTGGAAGATAGCTGCATCTACTCAATCTGGACCTCCAAACTCTGATCCAATTAATGAAGGCCCCATCTTATCAGTTCGATTTTCTCTGGATCAGAAAGCCATAGGGATTCAGCGATCCAGTCATGAGGTCGAGTTTAGAAATAGAGAAACAGGGGAAGGCTGTAGTAAGAAGTGCAGAGCAGATTCTGAGACCATACTGGGATTTTTCTGGACTGACTGTCCCACTTGTGATGTCATAATTATAAAAACAAGGTTTGTAAAGGTGTTGCTGCTACAATATAAATAGCAGAAACTTTATATGTTCTGCATCCAAATATCCAATTAGCCTATTGTCACAGGCTCACAGCCACAGGAGCACTTGTAAGATGAACCAATTAGTCATGTTCTTATTTTGGGACTGACTTCATTCATATTTTAATTCTATGTAGAAGGAAGCTATCCTGTTCTTTGGTTCATTTTTTGTGAAATGTGTCTCTATTGCAGTGGGCTAGATCTGCTTGTCTATGAGCCTCAATCAAATGCTCTTCGGTTAGTGGAGTCAAAAAAGTGCAGTGCCACCTGGTATCTTTACACTCATGAAAGCAGGTTGCTTCTTCTTGCATCTGGAATGCAATGTACGCTGTTCACTGGATATCAGGTAATGCATTATGCACCCATTGAAGATAACATGCCCCAAAGAAACAACTCTGATGAGGATTGTTTTTATACATGTTGATTGGTATTTAACTTTTCTTAACCATGCTCATTCTGGTGGGCTGATGCTGTAGTTGCGCTTTAAACTTTAAAGCAGATTCCGAGCTGAGACATTTTAAAGTAATCTTTGTGTAGTAGAGTGCAGGGCTGGGACTTTATTTTGAACTTACTTTCTATTTCCATTAAATTGACATGGGTCATTGATTTAACATCTAAACTGTATGCTAACTTTTATGTATGGTTCTAACAGTTTTCTGCTGGTGGGATCGTCAAATTGCCTAAGTTTGAGATGGTGATGTCTAAATCCGAAGCAAATAACAAGCCTGTCCTAGCTGCTGCTGATGTTCACATTGTAACAGTGTATGCTTTCTGTCCCTCTTTTTTTTTTCTTTTTTCCTTTTTTACAAATTTCACATAAATTCCAATAACATTTCCCAAATTTGGCAGGTATGGTAGGATTTACTGCTTGCAGCTGGATAGAGTCGGCATGGCATTGAACCTGTACCGATTCTACCGTGATGCTGTTGTCCAACAGGTTTGAACGATATGTGCTGATCTCCAATTTCTTTTCTTAAGAAATACATGTCATGTTCAGATAGTTTCTTTCCGAGTTAGGTGTCTGTTTCAGTTTGTAGATTCCGATAATAAGTTCAGTAGCATTTATTTAATATTTATGAAAATTACCACCCCTCGTCATGTCCGCCACATATTCTGCAATGACTTTAATTTAAGGTGATTAAGATTAAGGTGACAGGGATCTCTTGTGTTTTCATTATCTTGTGTAACTATCCACTTGCTGGTATGATTGCTGACGTGTGACTCATGGTGGTTGCCTGACTTGAGATAAAGAACAGAGGAGAGGCACAAGAGGAGGAGACGAGTTTTTTGTTTATTCGTCAGCCGCCGATTCAATCACAGCTTGCAAGCCCTTGTAGCCAACCGAACACACCCTGACACATAGGCCTCACATGCACACCATGCTGCGGCACCACTTTCCACCTTCACAACTCATGCTCCATAACAGGGCACTCAAGGGAGAGCGTGAATGTTACCAAAAAAGCGATGTACAATCCCCAACTCCCCTTTAATAGTAAAGACGAGGGTAACTGTTGGAATCATATAGTTCTTATATGGACATGAAGAATAGACTGTAATGTAAGCTTATGTTACACGCTTTGTTTCCAGTGTGTTGTTTCCTTCCCTAGAAAGCTGCGGTAGCTGGAGCTAAAGTTGACACAAGGTCTATGAGTTGTACCTCAGTGCCTCAGTTTGACATCCTGGGCCTGGTTAGGTTGTAGGAAACTACTCAGTTTACATTAAACTGCAGGTCTGTTTACAGTTACATAATTTATAATTAAAATTTAAATGTTCATTTGTCCCTTGTAAGTAAACACTTGTGTTCCTGAAAAGTTATAAACTGCTCTAAGTTTGGCTGAAAAATGCCGTATTGCTGCTTTTGGCAAAGTTCTGCCACTGGGATACCAGCAAATTTCCTTTCAAAATGAGAGATTTAAGGAGTGTCTTAGTCGGTGATCACAAAACCGATTAGCTGGTCTAGGTTCTGAAATCCCTGTTGGGAAATGTTCTTCTATTTCGTCTGTCAAGAAAAAACCGTAGTCCCCTAACTCATAGCTTGTTATTTCAGGGTACTCTCCCAGTATATTCAAGCAGAATTGCAGTTAGTGCAGTTGACAATATAATCATGATCCATCAAATTGATGCGAAAGTTGTCATACTTTACGATGTATTTATGGATTCTTACGCACCAATATCTGCACCACTTCCACTGCTTGTGAGAGGACTGGCCAGCAATAGTAAGCAAGCAGCACAACCTGCAGATCAGCAATCAAGTGCTTATGGCGGGACTTTATATGGAGAAGGTTGGAACTTTCTCATTCCTGACCTCATCTGTGATGCTGAGAATGGGCTACTCTGGAAACTTCATTTAGATCTGGAGGTAAGGAATCGGCAATGGATTATTCCTTGATTAATTCATCCTCAACACAAATACAATTTTCCTGACATGAGTAGCTTGAAATCTCTAGGCTATTGCTGCTAGTACTTCTGATGCTCCTTCGATTTTGGAATTCCTTCAGAGACGAAAGTCTGACCTGAGTATGGTAAAATACGATTTCACTACTTCGTGATAGTTCAGTTTTCGCCATCTATTACCATTGTCATAATATTTCTTATTGAAACTTATGGTTCAGGTTAAGACACTAAGCCTTGCTATAGTTCGAACAACCATCTTGGAAAGGAGGCCAGTAACTTTGGTTGCAAAGGCAATGGATATCATTCTTGATTCATACTCTCGTTCGATGAAAATGGTAGGCGGTGCTGCTGGGGTTAGGAGGACGTCTGAGCAAAACCAACAGTCAAGTTTTCAGCCTGTTGAGGACTCCCGTGTGGTTTCTCAGGAACCTCCTGGAACCATGATTGGACCTGTTATCAACACTGATTCAGCAAGTGGGGTTGAGAGTGGACAGTCACAGTCAAATTCAGGAGTTGAGCATGGAATTGCTAACCTGGCAGCACATGTAGATAGGTCATCTTTAAACACATCCTCTGATTCTGACGGTATTACCAATACATCGAGAGCGGTAAGTCAGGCAACATCAAGTTCCCAGATATCTGACGCCACTGGCAAAAGACCGCAGGTTGTAGGAGAGGATAGCCAACCATTGGCTTCTGGTACATCAATGCAGCATGGAACACATGTTGCTAGTGTGGCAATTTCACCAATTGAAATGGTCCAGTCCGTCTTTGTGCTTGTTGAAGATGAAATGATGGGTGATCCTGCATACCTTATTGCTGTCATCATGGAGTTTTTACGAAGGTACATTTAGTGTTCTTTAAAATTAATTTAGAAGCAACAAAGAAAAGGTACACTAAGTATTGTCCTGTTTTTGTACAGCCTGTCAAAAGCTGGGCTGAAGGCTCCTCCTGACCTTTATGTCATGATGACTGCTTTGCTGGCCTGCAGCAACCGTTATGCTGAAATAGCACTGTTTGTATCGAACAAGGTCAGTATGTTATTCCAACACCATTATTAATGATCAATGTGGCAATTACCATTAAGTAGACTAGCACAATCAATCATGATGTTTGTATCTAAGAAGTTCAATTTGCTATTCCAACACCACTCTTAATGACCAGTGGGCGATTACCATTAACTAGACTAGCACAATCGATCATGTCGTGTGTGCTGGTGGTTAAATGTATTACCTCTTTTGCTTCATTATTTCAACACCATTATTAATGATCTGTGTGGCAATTACAATTATAATGTCAGGCGTGCTGATGGTTAAATATATTACTGTTTTGAGAAGAAAATTGAAATCACTATATTAGCGCAAGTAGGGTTAAATATGTTGACGAGTATGATTCCAAACAAATTGTTATCTTTCACATGCCTTAAATTTGTATGAATAGTGTCCAATCCAACAAACTTTTTCATCCATCATTGGATGAAAACTATATGAACTAGATGATACCCTGCACATTGTTGTGGGAATGTTTTGCAATATATTTTAATGAGATTTGGTTGTATGGAACATGAATATTTGGAGTAATAATATGAGAACTAAAAATTAAAATACTAACGATTTATTGTGTTTGATTATTGTTTAGTTGTAAAATATTTATTAAATTTGAATAAAATAAAAAATCGCATGCATGTTTGCATGTTGAGGTAGCTTTTACTTATGCATGGGTGCATGTTGAGGTGGGCCTTTTCCCATGCATGTTGAATGATGAGGTGGCATGCTTGCATGTTGAGAGAAATAGGTTAGTGGGGGCTAGCTATTTAGATATAGAAGATAATGTCCAATCCAACATGATTGGAAACGAGCAGAAGCGATTCACTTCTGAAGAAAATACATACGTCAACTGTAGTTTGCAGTTTCCTTTAGGTAGTACTATTAGCCTTTGAATATTGTTTATGAAAAGTTTCAGTTGAGGCTTGTCTCTACTAGCACTGACTATTGTTGAATCCGAGCCTGCACCTGAGTCGTCTGATGACGCCTCCCCTGTACTTGAGCTTCGATCGACAGGCCTCTAATTGAGCCCATCAGTTCATTGCACAGATGGAAATTCATTGTGGCCATCAGATTTTGTCAGCACGAATCACTATGCTTTTATGCTTGCACGCTACGATGACTTTTGAGAGTTTTTACCAAAAAAACAAATCGACCTTTTCCACATAAAAGAACAAAACAAATTGACCACTGTCAACTCCCTAAGTGAATGTGGCCAAGAAGTATGGTTTCATTTTGGCGATGGATCAATTCCTGCAGATTCTAGAGCCGTCCAGGGAACTCGCAATGCAGCTCATTGATCTGGGTCGACATCATTCGCTGACAAGGAAGCTGGGAGTGGACATGCTCCGGGAGAGGTGCCTGCACCATGACTACGTGGCTGCATTACTCCAAGACGGGTACTACCTGGAGGCTCTACGCTATGCTCGAAAATACAAGGTATTCGCCTACCCTACTGATGCTATGTTATCTTTGGGTGCTTGTGCTTCTCGATTAGAAAACAACTAAATTATTGTTGAGTGCTTCCCATTTCTGTTTCCATCCATGTATCAACTTGAAAACAACTGATTAGGAAGTGTTATTGTATTCGTTGCAACTTACTACAACCAAGTTTGTTACTCCCTGAGTTGCTGATTGTCTGAAAATCGGTGCTCAAGTTAGTCCATCCTGACTTTGTCTGAATGCTTTGTTCCAACGGGCTGGTTCTGACATGATGATTGGTCCAGGTTATCACCGTGCAGCCTTCCCTGTTCTTGGAGGAAGCCGTGGCCAAGAACATCACGCCGAACCTTGCCGCTGTGCTGAGCTTTTTTGCTGAGCTCACGCCGAGTTTCAAGACGACGTCGGACTATAGCAGATATCGGCACATACTGTCGGAAATGGTCTGAACTATGCATCGTTATTCCGCGGAACGATTCTCTTTTTGATGCTCTTGAGGTTTGGAGGAAGCGTGTAATAATTGATGACTTTGTTCACCCTGTTTAAAAGATTTCTATGCTTGTACTCCGAAGTCATCGTTAATGGTCTCGGTTGCTTTGAGTGGATTTGCTGATTTGGCTTGGCTTTGGTAGCTCGTCTAAAAATTGGTTATAATATACAAGAGCTGACAACGAGTCAATTTCGAGCAGACCTGAAAAGTTTGGTATAAAGAACATAATATATCACGATGCATATTTTCATATTGTATATAGTTGGTATTGTAGATATAAATAATTTTCTTTAGACTTTGTCAAAGTTTGTAAGTTTGATTTCTCAAAAAATCTAGGAGGTGTTTGGTTCCAGAGAAACACCGCAAACGTAAGCATAATGGAATTACGAATTACGCTTGGACTGTAAACGTGAACGAACAAAACTCAAACTTGTGGACTGTAACGTAATCAATTCGTCTCCAGAAAAGAAAAAGGCTAGCAAATCTCAAAGCAGCAGCCACGGCAGGGCTCTCTCTGGGTCTGGCATGATCGTGATTGCTGATGCAGAGGGGCGCCACACCGGGGACGTTGCTGATGCAGTGGGAAGGCTGGCGGCCCACGGGCACCAGGGGTTGAGGGGTTGGTCGGCAACCGCGGCAAGCAGCACGTCCGGCGGCGACACCCTGTAGACATGGTCGTCGCCGATGAACTCCTCGAAGAACAGAAACGACAGGCACCTCGCGTTGCCGAGGATCGAGGGGAGGCAGAGGGGAACAAGAAGGCGGGGCGCTAGCCTCGGGG